GGTGCGGGGATGACATGGAGGCGGATCTACCAGGACAGTGTGCGTAAATCAAAGGAGTGACGGAGGTGAATAAAGCACTTCAACAAGCCGCGAGGCCTGACGGAGCAGCACGGCTTCAATCCAGGTTTCAGAACGTTCACACACAGAACGGGTCAGGACCAAGTCCAGCGGTCCTCCTGCTGACTTCAGAGCGTTTCTACACTTTGATCACAGCGGCTGTGTGCACAGGATGGCAGCGGTCTGCACTGACGGATCACTGCCATCTTTAGATCTTTAAGAAACGATCTGCAATTATTTTGCTGATCGTTTTACACCAAGATGACTAAAGAACCTCGTATTATACGTCAGCTGATTGGACAAAACAAGCAGTTTGAGGGTTAGGCTGAGTGGAATCATGAATTTAGTTTCCCACAATTCAACGACCGTGATGGAAGTTCAAGATGATGCGTTTAGGATGCTCCGCCCACTGAGGTGAGACCACTTGGTTTAAATCTGACAGCATCTTCGGACATGAGAAGCTTCTCTATGCACAGCTGGAAACCTGCTGATGAGGCATTCAGGGAACATCTGTAAATTGTGGCATCTAAATGAGAGGCAGATGTTGATCCAGTGAAGCGGTTCAGCTGTTTATACGTGAGAACCGTGGAGATGCTCTGAATTCAGGCGAGGATGATTTTAAGTCTTATTTTGATGCAACAGTTTGTACATTAGCAGGAGATAAAGCAGCGCTGCACGAGTTTGAATATAAAACTGCAGCAGAGTCAAAGAATGACGGTAATCAATAGTAACGATCTCAGTATTTATCAGAATAATCCGATCACACTTCTGGCCATATTGATGCAGCTCCAGCTGCTTCAGTTGTTGGTTAATCTGACCTTTACTTTCTTATTAATCTCTAAAAATATCTACATTTTCTCAGGTTCACATTTCTCTTTGAGTGACAGTTTAAAACTCAGATATTCAGTTCATCCACAGAGAAGCACAAAATCTGGATTTTTGAAGCTGAAAGATTCAGTTTGGGTCGATCGGTTATTACAACAGTTTATTGTTCTGATAGTGGACTGCGGTGGAGAGGACGGGGAAGCTGCTGCCCCCTGGAGGACGTAATGAGCAGATTCATCAGCTGTTGGTTGTTTCTTATGAAATATCAGATGAATTAATAAATTCCCAGAGCAGGCGGCATCTGCAGAGGTCTTGTCCAAGAATGAATTTATGCTGATAAAAGCTGTGCATCCTCACATTTAGGACGCTGGAGTCAGACTGCTCAAAGGACCAGATTATATCAACAGGGATCAATTTGTTTTTTGTTGATGATCAAAAGTTGTCAAAGATCATTTCCAGTGACGATGAGGAATAACTTGGTCCATCGTTTAATCCTCCAGGCACCAGCGTTTAGTTTGTGAACATGCTGTTTAAATCCAGTGTGCGCTCTGGTTTCCACTCTTCTGTAGGAAACGGTTATTACATGAACGCAGGCATTTGTTTTAGAGTTATAGAAGGAAACAATCTGATGCAGAGACTACAGCTAAACGACTACCAGCTAAATGCAAAGGCTGCACTGACTCACTGCTCTGCTTCTTGCCTAAACCTGGATGTGTGTTTGAGTTCCCTCTAAGCACTGACACAGGAAGCAGTGAGTCCCGTAGCGCCCCGTTCATGTGGTCTGAAGCCCGTCTGCAGCTGTACCAGTGTTTCTGCGCCTCTGAGGGCCGGTGTTCACATGGAGCTTCAGTGCTGTGCATATAAAGTGCTCTGAGAGTCAATGTGGATCCTAGAAACACTGGCTGAAGGCTGCGGTGGCCAAACACGCCTGCATTAGCAGAACAAACACACGTCTTCACCTACCGTCGGCTCACTGTGTCGCTCAGACACCAGCAGCGACCGACGCCAACACTCGGCCCGTAACAGAGAATCAGTAAACACCAGTAGAAAATACTTTGAGTCCAGTGGACGTGGAATAATTAAGTTTCTGTAAAAACATAAAAAGCACTGAACAGTTTGGCTCACTGACGAGACGTGCATCATTTCAACCCTTTGTAATCATTAGAAAAGCATCATTTTCCATAAAATGACAGATAGTCCTGGTGTTTTTATACCAGGGCCCGATTTACTAGATGATCAATAGTCACAAAGATGTCTGAGATCCATCCAGAACAAGAACACCAGAACAGCCGTCAAAGTAGAGATGCCTGTTTTTAAAATAACTCTAGCTAGCAGCTAGCAGCCAGCAGCTAACAGCGTCACCTCCAGCATCTGTGTTTAGCAGGAAGTGAAGGTGGAGCTCACTGCAGGATGGCGCAGTTGGTAGCACCGTGGCCTCACAGCTAGAAGGTCGCCGGTTGGCGTCCCGGTGAGGACACCCGGGATCTTCCTGCGTGGAGTCTCCATATTCTCCCCGTGCAGCGTGGGTTCTCTCCGGGTTCTCCGGCTTCCTCCCACAGTCCAGAAACATGCTGAGGTTAATTGGTGATTGTAAATTGTCCGTAGGTGTGAATGTGAGTGTGCTTGGTTGTCTGTCTCTAAGTGTAGCCCTGTGATAGACTGGTTACCTGTCCAGGTGAACCTGCCTTCACCCTGAGTCAGCTGGGATAGACTCCGCCCCCCATGACCCTGGTGAGGATAAAGCGGTGTATAGATAATGGATGGATGGATGAAGGTGGAGCTCTTTTCTTCCCCGTTGGACTGCCAGTCATGTCTTCATCTGTTTGAAGCACAACCAGCCACAGCTTCAGGTCCCGCTGCCCAAAGCCAGCCTGGGAACGCTTCACCGAGGCTTTTATTTTGTTGGCAAATGCACAAACACGAGCCACTGTCTGTTGAACAGAACAGTAGGCATTATCTGCCTCCACTCCTCCCTGGTCAGCTTTCTCTACGGCCACATTCATGGCCACAAGGGACCATGTGACGTCTGCCACAGGAGTCTGAGAGTGTGGCCACGGCGTCAATGGCAGGAAACCAAGCGCTCGTAATGAGGAGAGGCTGTACGAGGGGATTCCCAGCCATCGATACAGTCCAAACACCATGGATTTAGGTTCTCAAATGTCCAGGTATCCTGTCCTCCACACAGTTCTGGAGCCTGACCTGTACGCAGCAGCAGCCAGAGACCTCAACAGAAGCACCCATGGGAGGCCTGTGTGCTTTCTGTTAGTGGACCAGCTGCATACCTGAACAGTCGCATGTGCACCTGCCGGCTCCTCCTCAACGTCCACATGGGCCACACATGGGTCTAACACGGGCCACACATGGGCCAGACATGGGCCTAGCATGGGTCTAACATGGGTCTAGCATGGGCCACACATGGGCCACACATGGGTCACACATGGGTCTAACATGGGTCTAACACGGGCCACACATGGGCCACACATGGGTCACACATGGGCCTAGCATGGGCCTAGCATGGGCCAGACATGGGTCACACATGGGTCACACATGGGCCACACATGGGTCACACATGGGTCTAACACGGGCCACACATGGGCCACACATGGGCCTAGCATGGGTCAGACATGGGCCACACATGGGTCACACATGGGTCTAACACGGGCCACACATGGGCCTAGCATGGGCCTAACATGGGCCACACATGGGCCACACATGGGCCAGACATGGGCCAGACATGGGCCACACATGGGCCACACATGGGCCACACATGGGTCTAACATGGGCCTAGCACGGGCCAGACATGGGCCACACATGGGTCTAACATGGGTCACACATGGGCCTAGCATGGGCCTAGCATGGGCCAGACATGGGTCTAGCATGGGCCTAGCATGGGCCACACATGGGCCTAGCATGGGCCTAACATGGGTCTAACATGGGTCTAGCACGGGCCAGACATGGGCCACACATGGGTCTAACATGGGTCACACATGGGCCTAGCATGGGTCTAACATGGACATCATGCACTGGCCTTAAAGCTTCAGTTATGCTTCTGTGTCGACTCTACACCCTAACCTGACCTCACACACACCTTGGCTGTGTTTGCTGTGAAACACAATGTTTATGTGTTATGTTTCTGATGCGCCAGTACTGTAGTAGTACGTAGTACTGTAGTAGTATGTAATACTGTAGTAAGCACCAGTACTGCAGCACTGCATAGTACTGTAGTAGTATGTAGTACTGTAGTACTGCAGTAGTACATAGTATTGTAGTAAGCACCAGTACTCTGCTAGTGAGTCGTTGTTCAGTTGTCATAGCAATCTCCTCTGATGTCTTTTCCGTGTCACAGATCCAGCTGAACAAACCCAGAAGGTGGGTGGTGCCACAGAAGCCCGGTGCTGACCAGCGCTGTGCTTCACTGTGTAGCTGCAGAGCCTTACGACTCCCTCAAGACTGCAGACCAGCCTTCTGTTGAACACACACGTGGTGTAGCAGTCTGATCCATAACGCTGTCTGGCTTCCAGAAAAATCAGAGCTCGTTTACTTACATGCAGACAGTGGCCTGTCAGATTACATGTCAGCTGTTTGACACGTCTGTTAAAGCCTTCTTGTTCAGTACTGGATTCTATTAATCATTTAGATGGAAAATGATGGAAGATTGGGGCCTAAAAGGTTTAAAAATGCTGGAATTATCCTTTAAGTTTCCACCCAAACCTCCCATGTTTGAGTTTTTCTGCCACTAGATGAAGATTTTTAAAAGCTATGAGGTTGAAGTCCAGTTCACCAGCTGCCACCAGTCCAGCAGCATCAGCCATGCTGGTGCAGATACCCACCACTTCTAGATCCAGAGGCCCAGTTCAAGTTTTAAAAAAAAATAAAAAAGAAGCAGCAAATTAAGAGTATCTGTGAAATCAGAACCACAAGGACCCACATTAATAATTGAACCACAGAGGTCATTTCTGAAGCCTTTAGAAAATCATTAGCACCGACGATTAGAACTGGAGTCTTTGAGACTGACACAGGGCGTGAAGCTCGGCGTTCGTGGTGTTTGTGTCCCAACAGGACTGAGTCAGGCGCTGTGGAGGGAGCTCCCTCCCAGCCGGCAGAGGAAGTAACAGACAACTATCTAGCTAACAGCCCGTTTGGGTTTCCCAGCCGGGGCAGGCTGCTAAAACGGTGACACCGAAACAGACTGCCTGCTGAAATACTGACACTGGCTGTCAACGACTAGCGCTGACCAGCCGCTCTGTTTCCCGCTCTGGTCCCAACACAGCTTTCAGGAAACGCTGGAGAGACTTGTCCCTTACCCAGACTGGACCTGAAGACTTGACTCTAAAACCTCTGCTCAGGCTGTTTGAGGCTCCGACATCAGCTTCCACCTTCATGGCTGGCTCGTCTGCGCTTCAAGCTCCGTAGGTAAGCCTCTGGAGGGAGTTCAGCTTCAGGCTACGCAGCTTCAAGCTTCACAGCTAGCCTCGGTTGTTAGCTTCAGTGCCGACAAGGCGCGCTAGCACGAGCTTCGACCTTCGCGGCTGGCGTTTAGGTTAGTTTGAAGAAAGCTGGAATTAGTGTCAGGGTTAGCTAGTGTTAGCTCCTCAAAGCCGGGCTGGTGTTTTTCTCCATCTCTTTATTTCCATCCTTCATCAAGGCAGAAAACACCTGAAAAGGAAACACACAATCAACCATGACGGCATTTTAATGTGCTCATCACTTTGCCACCAGGTGGACCCACTGCCTGTTTACTGAGGTGGAAGACTGCAGTCTGTATGCTGTGTTTAACGCTGCTAGCACCCTGGACTGGCTGCTGCTACGCTGACTAGCACACAGCCTTGTGGGGGTAGTTAGTTCGGGGCCACCATGGCAGAGACTTTAGTGTTTGTTGAGGACCTCTGGCTGAGGTTCCTGCATTTAAATAGAGCCGGGACAGCGTTCCTGTCGTCGAGTGGCCGATGTACCCGAGTCATCGGTGAATGGAACATGTGGGTAATTAAGGCTCGTTTGCATATCAAGAAATGTCCCTGTGCTCCATAATCTGGTAATTAATGTGCACCAGTCTTCAGCTCTCTCTCTCAAAGCCCTGAACTGAGGCTGACCTGAGCCCAGCGGCGGTTCCTGCTGATCATGTGAGTGTTGGCCATGGCGTTGAACAGCGTGTGCGACTGCAGGTCCTCCGGCAGGCGGGTGAGGAACTGGGCGATGTGGATGAAGTCCATCTGCAGCAGGACGTCCTCGTACAGACGCAGGATTCCCAGCCCCGTCCGGAACAGGCTCTCCTCCCCGTCCCGACAGAAGACGTCCCACACCCGACACGCCACGTCCAGAGGGAGGGACTTACTGTACAGAGTGAAGATCCTGGAGGGAGACGAGAAGACAGAGGTTCGGATTCAAGGGAAGCGTTACAAGTCATGTCACAGGTTTCTGTCTCTTTGCACGCTCCATTTGGAGGGTTGCTGGTTCCCAGTGTTCAATAGCTCACCAGTCGATCAGATAGAGGTCAGGGGTCAGGTTGTTGGTTTGGAAGTGGCTGAAGAGACGAGGCAGGTTCTCCTCAAAGAAAATCTCAAAGGCTGAGAAATACTTCAACATCTGGCAGAGACAGGAAGTAAAGAAAAGATGATGGAGGCCCAACACTGATCACACAGCTGCATGTAAAAGTAAAACCAAGACACTGTTGTGTTCATTGAAGCCAGTGTTGCTACTTCAGCCCTAGACTGCTGCTGACGTCCATATTACGACAGATAGCAGGTTCAGGGTCGCTCTGTCTCTGACTCCTTCTTTGAGCGTTGTAAATAGAACATAGTTTGATAATCACCGCTCACAACAACATTTAACTCTGAAGCTGGTACTTTAGAGCGTCTGGAGCAACAGGAACGCCACGTTTCCATGTACTTACCAACTCGTGGTCGACTCTAAAGAAGGCCATCTGACAGGGTTTGTTGAGCAGGTTGGCGAAGGTGATGAAGGCTTCGGCCTCCTCCAGGTTGAGGATCAGCACAGCAGCGATGAACGACATTCCCTGGACCTGAAACACAGATCCCACATCAGCACTTGAAACTAAACTGCAGATGTTTCTGCAGCAACACTCGTCTGTTTGCCTTTATTACAGACTTTAAAGCACTGATGCGGCTCCCAGTTGAGTTTGGACCCACTGACTTTTGCAAAATGAATTCTGTTTCAACGCTACATGTGCCACCTTTTGGGTTAAATTCCTTTTTAAAATACAGATTTTAATTATACTGATAATTCAAGGAAACAATACCAAACCTGTTCATTCCTTTCTGACTGTACCTTCATCGACTTCTCTGAGACAATTAAAGAAATAACAGCTGACATGAGTTTTACCTGCAGCAGTCACCTGTGTGCTGAAAGTGGCTACGTTAACATAGATGCCATTACAATTACAGCTACTACAGGAACCTGAAATGGGCCAACTACAAATAAAATCATTGCTTTACTGATCAAACCAAAGTGTATCAAATACCCTTAATCAAATCTGGACTGTGCACTTTAATCCAGTTTCAAACTTAAAAACATGGTGCACAGGAAGCAAAAAAGGGAAAACATGCATCTTTGGCCCAAATGTTCTGGTGCAGTGGACGTTCTTTAAATGTTAGTTTGGGTGTACGTTTTACCCATTTGCTCATAGAATTGCTGATTTAACTGATAATTTCACAAGTTTTAGACTATTTTATGGAACGTTTGACAATTGTAGGGAATTTTGTTAAACGTTAAAGTTTGTAAGGATATTGTGCTGACATAAGCATTAAAATGATACCAAGCACTAATGAGCAAACTGCTGCCACAGCTGATTCTGTCTGGGAACAATGAATTATGAACTATCATCATGTTGACGAGAGAAGAAAAGCAAACGCACATATCCAATGTCAGGTCTGTAACAGGTGTACGCCCCCAGGACGCTGTGGAGCAGGTCGTGGTAAGGACCGCCCTGCACAAAGAAAGGACGGTAGAGTCAATATGAGACACCAGCACGGGCCCAAGACTGGAGGGCATCAGGAAACACACACTTGAGTAGCTTAAACCTGCTAGAAGCCGATGGTTTACCTTCTGAAAGATGAAGAGAGAGGGGAAGGTTCTGGAGATGTCCAGTTTGATGAGGTCCAGACTGGATTCTCTGTCTGCCAGAGATGCCCCCCCATCTAACAGGAAAACACAAAAAGACCATCTCCTTCATTTGGACAGTTCTGAACTCATTCTTGTGTTGAAATAACTCTTCAGTTAACTGTTAAGACAGCAGAGGCTGATTTCAAATCTGAAAAGTAAAGTTTAGAGAGCTCATAATGTGCACATTTACAGGCTCATCATCTATTTACAAGCTTTATTGTTCAAAAAACACAATTGTTTTCCGATTTTGCTCTGAAACGCTCC